ACTTAACTTAGCTGTAAACGTTACACAGGTCAGACTTTTTATAACATGTACTCCACGATAACAGTGGGGAATATTTGGTGTAAATCCTCATTCTACTCTTTGCAGTAGTCTATAAATTGAATGTGACAAATATTAGAACAGCACATTTAATGCATAACACAGGAAACGTACATTTTCATCCCTCGTAAAGAGCGGATAAAGTACGTAAAATTACTTCAAAATAAAAACTACTTCTCGCGCATATTTATATCCGGAAGACGGCATTGCTTTCTCCCACTACAAGACAGGCCACAGAAGATGGCAGGGAAAGCAAGAGTCATAACACCGTGCAATTTACAGAAATAACTAACACCATGCTTCTTCATTCGTTATTACTTATAACAGAAAGGTGCTCGGCGAAGCTGGCTTGAGTCAATACAAATCACCTTTTACTTAAATTAACTTCTCACCAACTTCCTAAAGATATATCTATTCAGTTGAGAAAGCTACCTTAAATTAAAAAAAACACCACCTTCAGGGGTTTACTACATCTGGGCAGAAATACAAAAAAAACGAAGATTTCTGTCTTCTGATGATCGCCCTGATGACGGAGAAAGTATGACCTCTGTAACGTCGGTAAACTGCTACCAGACTCCACAGCGCAACAACCCAGGAGACAGAAATCTTCATCGCCCTGATGACGGAGAAAGTATGACCTCTGTAACGTCGGTAAACTGCTACCAGACTCCACAGCGCAACAACCCAGGAGACAGAAATCTTCATCGCCCTGATGACGGAGAAAGTATGACCTCTGTAACGTCGGTAAACTGCTACCAGACTCCACAGCGCAACAACCCAGGAGACAGAAATCTTCATCGCCCTGATGACGGAGAAAGTATGACCTCTGTAACGTCGGTAAACTGCTACCAGACTCCACAGCGCAACAACCCAGGAGACAGAAATCTTCATCGCCCTGATGACGGAGAAAGTATGACCTCTGTAACGTCGGTAAACTGCTACCAGACTCCACAGCGCAACAACCCAGGAGACAGAAATCTTCATCGCCCTGATGACGGAGAAAGTATGACCTCTGTAACGTCGGTAAACTGCTACCAGACTCCACAGCGCAACAACCCAGGAGACAGAAATCTTCATACTCACCGCTGTGAAAACCTCAAATCATACAAAAACAACGAAGTATGTGGGATTTGAGGTTCTCAAGGCGGTGGAAATGTCGGTGTTGTTCTGGGTTGCGACGATACCAGCGTCTTGGAGAAGCATATTTAAGAGACCTGAAAATGGAAACATTATGTTTCTCCGAAACCCAGAAGACCATCAACAGAAACAGGAATCGAATCTCTGAAAGAATCACTGTCAACATACAACGCGTTACTGCCCACAGTTTGAAAACGCCTGTACGAGGGAAAACAAAAATTGCTGTTACATGCGTAGGAGTGTCGGTCGGAAGGTCGGCCAGTTACCCAGGAAGTGTTAGCACGGGATTCGAACCCGGCATGCTCTCACTGCTTACAGTGACGTAATTAAGTAAAAGTGAGGGGACATGCACTACTGGCGAAGCTTGCGATTTACCAGTCCGCCACTGAGCATCATTATGCCTTTCTGCGTTTTATATTACAGGCCGATATGAACAGTAAGGAACGTGGTTACTGCAGCCAAGACTGCATGGGAATGTACGAATGTGCGCGTATTCTACAGGCAGTGTAGTCTGAGCCACTGAAAAAAGTATAAATATGGAACATACAGTTTCCTGTCAATTGTGATTTTGTGGGTAATGACACCGTTCAAATGTTTCGGAGGAACGTATCGCCAGCATCTTCAGCGTTGAAGTAGAGTGGAGTGTACTCAGCCTTGAAGATGGAAGCGAGTACAAACCCAAGTACGCATCTTTACAAATAGGCGAGCACGGACTTTGAATTTATGATTTTGTTAAAATGTTTCTTGAGTTATGAGATGACAAGTAATGTCAATATTCCTCTTGTTTAATCATCTCGAAAACTGTTTAACAGTCGCGGAAAGTGAAATGACCATGAAACGTTTTTTTAATTTATACTCGAAAGCTGTTTTTCCGCGATAGTTCTCGATTCGATGGATAGGCATATTTAGCGAGTTAGGCTCGAGATACGCGCGCAGAAACACGGGCTGATATTCATGCAAAGTTTCCGTTATTGTTGCCCGATTTTAACCAAAACAGTAATGTGTCGACAAATTTTATGAAAATCAAACTTCATGAAAAATCATTCAGCGGTCACATACAGACTGACAGACACGATGAAGTAATAGGCCCATTCCTGCAACTTTCCTGCGCTTATAACAATATTTACATTTGTAAACTGATTTATTTTCTTTGGTTTAATTCGAGTTGGTAGAAAATTCTGATTTGCAAAGTTAGGAAATGTCTGTGTCTAAATGCTGCGCTGAACGTCGTATTCTTCAGAAAATCTTCCTACCCTCCTGCCTTCAGTTGTGATCGGTGTCTCACCTAGGGCTGGCACTTTGTTCCTCTTCCTCCGGGTCCACACTTCACGCACATCCTCCAGAGCTAGGTTCCAGTGTTTGTCGAACGCCGCCAAGAACGCGACGCAGTAGAAAAAAACCATGTTCCGAGTGAACACCTGTAATTATATGGTGAAATTTCGGGTTCTCATAGTGACGATTATGAAGATAGCTGTCTCTGGGATGTTGCGCCACTCTGCTTACTCCGAAACATCGGTCAATATCTACCAGACTACACAGCGCAACATTCCAGAAAACGGCCATTTTTAATTATAATTATATTCGTGTATTGATAAGCGATGTGAGTCTTATTTTTATTCTACGGTGTTTACGTGACACGACGAGAGTGGCTCAGCCAGCGTGGTGTCTGACGACGGACAGGGCGACTGGGGTTCGATCTCTGGCAGGAGTTTTAGAAGAAAAGTTACTTTTTGTTCCTATTGATCAAATAGGTACTACTGATTAAGCTATTTGGATGTGTAAAGTGTAGCTAATATTTATTATTTATTATCAGATGAAAATTAGTTTATAAGGAATTGCACGATTTCGTCTGATAACTTTTAGGTTCAATTCTTGAGCGAAGCAGTGTTCAGGCCCTAAACAAAGCACTTCAGTGAGATTTGGGGTTTTCATTGCGGCGAAAATGTGGAATGTGGCGATATTGGTTATGGTGTAGTGCAGTCTTGTAGGTAGTTATCAACATTTCGCAATAATATACTGCGTCACAATCCATAAAGTAGTTCCGCCTGTTCATGTGATGTAGACATAGCCATTTCCATTAACGTAGTTTTAGGTCTTTCGAGGTTATTCGTGATTTGTATTCAAAAGGTCTCGGGTTTGATTGTCCGATCGAAGGCTGACTTTAAAGAGATTTTTCATTGTTTTATTTAGTGTCTTTAAACAAATTCTGCAATAGTAAATTAAAACAAGCAAAGATCTCTTTCACAATCATCGCCTATCATCGAACACTATATCAACTTATATGACTAACCTGTGCATTTCACACAGTGTCATTAAATTAACACAAGAACAAATAACAACAAAAGTAACTTTTAGGAGTATCGACCAATAAACAACCACCAGTCTGTACCTTGTAAGCCATTGTCTGGTCTTATACTTCAGTAGACTATGCAAAAACCAGTTTTAATTTCAGAAATCCAATTTCTGCCTTAAAGGAAAGCTTCTCCGGTCAAGGGCTTCATCGAACTCACGTGTACCAGGAACAGGTCAGGAACGAATAAATATTTATATAAAACTTCTGTCATGGTACTGCATATTCAGGTAGTAGCAAGTGAGAGCCATAATAATTCATAACCACTCGTTCCATTAGGTTGCAACTGGAAGCTGCGACGACGAACCCAAATAACTTTACATTCAGCACAGACACCCAGTGAAATGAAAATATGCATTGTATTCGGGATGCCCTTGGTTCGAATACCAAGGCTGGCAGGTTTCCATAAACGCTACCTTGTCTCCCTCCCACAGAACCTCGAATCTGATCCAGCAACCTTTACAGTAACAGACTATAGGTTACCCTGAACACAATTTTCCGCTCAACTAAGCAAATCAGGGATTTAAATTCCGGTTATTTTGTCATCATTAACACTTTTCATGTATGGCTGATGTTGTTATGTATATGTGAACTAAACACCCATCACGTTAAAGGAGAGAAAACAGTGCACACAGCACGAACACAGTTCAGAACCTGTGCAAAAATGAACACAAAAAGATTTTAACTTAATTTTTGAACTGAAATAAACTGCCAATAAAACACTTGTGTTGTACGCTTATATTCCTTTCAGTAGATTCTATCCTTAATAAAAATCTCAACATTTATCTAGGCTGTTTCAAAAGAACGTTTTAGGTACCAATATATTTTGTTACCAGTAAGCAACAGGCGATAATCGTGATGGGGGTAGCAAGCAGCTCTGAAACGTCGGAAAACTTCTACCAGACTACACGGCGCAGTTACTCAAAAGACAACCATTTTCGTAATCTAAAATTCTAGTCCTAGGTTACACAGCATGACCGAAAATTCCTGTCATGTTCGTTTCGTCCCTGGTAAATACGACTGCAGATAACCTCGGTGTCTGGTTTGCCTCTAAACCGAGGAAACGTTTCTCGCCTTGTAGAATGACCAACTGCCAACGTAAATGTACATGAAAATAAATATTCACATTCATCTGGGATGAGAAATGGCATACAGTCTGAATGAATTATTGAACACACTGTGCACAAGGCGTTAGGATGAGACCTGGCGAGCTACACAACCTTGGCAAACACACAAGAATAGACGGGGATTTGGAACTTCTGGTTGCAACATGGAGAACTCCCGCAGTTCAATGAGGATCTTTCTGATTTACAAAGGGAGGAATGGCTTGTGGCAGATTCCGTCATACTCAGTAGGTCAAGAGAAGAGAAATCGCGTTAAGTAGAAAGCTCTTCTACTCCATCAGTCAGTGGGCGGAGAAACACACTAAAACATGACACACCTCTGTTAGTACAATCACCTTGAATGCGCGAGGTGAACTCCGAAGTGTTTACGTGCATGACAAGGTCAGCGCGGGGCAAAACGAGACCTTCGGCAGACAGGAATTACTGCAACTGGAGACTAAAGTTGAGATTAATAAATAAAGCTAAGGATTTCTGACTTTTTATGCAATAAATGACCTCTCACTCCAACTATAAAAACCCTGCGCCTAAAAACAAAACAGCAAAGATGCGTTCGGAGGAAGCACACCGTGATTATGTACAGAGGACACCGGATCTAAACCCCCGCAAAACATGCGAACTATGAGTGGTCATTTCACTTCGTCCCTCCTTTTTAGAAAATTCTGTTTACCCTCTGCTATGCCAGGCTTTCTTTCTGCTACTAGCCGTCATTTTTCAGTCACACTGTTGTAAAAATTAAAGCGGTTTGGTGGCTTGTACGGAGGACGGTGTATTAAAATGCCGAACAAAGTTATTCTTCAAAATCCTTACTGGCGAAGTGTATGGGACAGGGAATCATCAAGATCCGAGATTGTACTAAACGCTATAGCCCAAGCCTCGGGTTTTAGATTTGTCGGCAGCCAGCTTAATCGGTCCAGATACAGTAGAGGGGAAGAGAAATGTCCCGGCAGTTCAGAATTCTTTCTTTTCGTTTCTGACACTAAGTTATTTGGGGTGAATTTAAATAAAAGTGCGGTCTGTTTTTACATCTCAGTCAAAAGCTGTGGTCTTTAACATTTTTTATCGTCACGTTTGACAATGTAAATAAATATTAAAATATACACCAATTTGTGCTGTTTTGGAATCTAATAGCGTCGAGGCGGAAGTAACGAGCAACAAATGTTACTAGAACACTTGTCTTCGTGGAAAAATATTCTTGAGAGGCTGATAGTCGCTTAGCTAGTCAAGAGATTCACATACAGCCTTTTATAGAACCCGAAGATCCAACACCGTGTTCATGAGGAATATCAGGGTGGTCCAACATTTTTATTCCCAGTGGCCAAAAATATTTCCCTCGTTTCGCCCAAGAGCCAAGAAACCCCTATTGGCACTATTTTTGAAAACTAATAGCCAATTGTTGGAAATGACCATAGTATATGCTCAAAAATAAATGTCATTGACCTTTAGGTCCCGCAATTAGTTTCTCCCCTACAGGTTTTCATGACGAAAATTTTGCATGCATTTCTTATGCTTCCCATGCGTGCTACTTCCATCTCATCCTCTTTGATTTGATCACCGAAAGTCACGACCGAGTCAGAAGCATTTCTGCCTCGTGTTCGGAAGGTCTATGTTTCAAATCTCGGCCCGGAGACCGGCTATCCTCAGGAGTTTCGTAGATTTACTCAACCTCTGCATGAAACTGATGGAATAGTACCACACGTTGATTTCTTCATCCTAATAATAGATTATTTGGTGGAGACAAATAATAAACCTTCTCGTTGTAAAATTTTCTGCAACCTCCTGTTACTTCCTCAGCACTTAACTGTTCTTTTCCCTTAGGACGACAGCAGACTAACAGACAATACTGAACTCACTAGAAGGGCTGGGTTCAATACCATGTAAACTTTTTGTAATGTAGTCAATACCGGAGGAAAGTAAAAGTAAATTAGTAAACTCACGGATCCTTTAATCTGCACAAGGAAAAACAAGTATCTTGAAACATATGGCAGCAAATTTACATTCACCTTCTATTACTGCTGACAGCCTTACAAGCCATTCTAATCCTAAAGGACATCTGTACAAACCATGACGCTCCATATACAGTTCTAAAGAATCTCAAAAGAAAAGCATCTTCACATTCGTTTATGGGTTTCGGTTACGGGGGATGTTGGCAAAATGGCACTGCGGGGATGATAAATGCATTTAAAGTTTTTGTCTGGAATACCTCAAGGGAATATACCACTTGAGACACCTAAACGTAGATGTGAGGATAAAATTAACCCTGTAAAGCCTAGTGGTAATTATATGTCCTACCTCCTTTAACATTCAGCAGCTTTTCATTTTGTGCTTATATGTTTTGTATGATTATTTCCTCAAATAGCATTAACGAGTTGATCTTTGTGATGAATAGTTATGTTTTCTAGGCGGTACGAACTGGATTCTTAAATATTTGAACGAACAAGGCTTTGAAGGGTTTTAAAATATGTCTTAGTGAATTCGATGCGCGGGTGTATTCTGGTTAATCTAACTCAGTGGCAGGCTCTTGTCACACAATGTCGAGTGACAAATTTGATTGGTATTTGCATGCAAGGGACTGAGGTAAACTGCGAAAAATAAAGGTCATTACAGCCCACCTGTAACCTCCCAAACACACAGAAAGGTCAATCCCTATATCACGACATTAGGTAAATTCGGTTTTGTAATAATAAAAGAACGAAGTATCGATATTAAAAGGTACAAGGTCTATGCTAAAATGAAGGTCCAAAACCAGCACGACCTCGCTTGGTTATATAGCTTTCATTACTACAGGCGTTGAATGCTAATTTGTGTTACAAAGATAAAAGTGATTAGTTAAGCTGAGGGACGGAGTGAGTTCATTTGCTTGGTTGTAGTTCGTACGTACATCGAACAAGTTCCACAAGACAGTTAATGGGAATATTCGACAACTGTAAGCGTGTTGTCCAGAATCACGGGATGTTAAGAAGGGCGCTGTTCATGCATGAATGCAACAAAGTAGCGTTTCTAAACAAAAAGGAATGCCAATTTACACACAGTCAGAGCAGTCACGTTTATTGTACTAACACACTTCCTTCAGCAAAGAAAATAGTTGCTCTCGATTGAATCAGGTACACGAAGTATGTGAATTCCGTATTTTTTTGTTTGAGTTTCCTCTTCCCTTCTAATTTTCGACCAAATTTCATTGTTAAAAGGAGAGACAGACTTATATATTATCATACATCCATGTCCCCAATAATTATTTATGGACTTTCATGAAACTTGGTATTAAAATTATGCTAGTACAAACATGGCGACCGTTTGAATTTTTGAGGCAGGACGATACTAGCAAGACGGGAGGATAATACTATTTTCGTGGGGTCCTGAAATGATGTGAAATAAGATAACAAACCTTTAAAAGACATACAACACAGTTATCACGTGATACTTTACACAGAGATCATACAAGACCGACAAAATGGTGTGAAACACATTTTTATGTATTACCCATAAGAAACGTGGAAAACTTTGAGGTTATATAAGTGTAACACATTTTGAAACTGTGCTAGTGGAAACGCATATAAATGAACCATTAAATTGTATAATTATCAATTTATAGTTCCTGTTAGTCACGCCACACATGCGCATAGCCTTATTTTTTATCACCAGCTTTTGCAGATCAGGCCTTGTGGCATGGCCCACGCCCTAGAGTACTTAAATCGGCAAAAAAGTTTTAAAATAAAGTAGGCACCAACGTGTGTTATCTCGTTGAGGGGAAATCACACACTGCCGAAACGCACCAAACAGTTTACTTTCTGGTCTCGGTGCGATTTCCAACAGCAGTGAGTCCTAATGATGTGTTCTTTCCGTGCAAGACAGCCCTCTCATGACACATGCGCACTCTTCAATGGGTACTCTAAGGGTGAGTCCAGACTGCTTGGGTTCGGGCTCGTGTTCCGTGAATGTGGACGGTTTCACGAGCCAGAGTCCAAACAGCGTGGCCAACCGGAACCATGGACTCCATGAGTTCGCTAGTGCCGGTAGAGTTGCCTGTCTGTACACGCCGAGTCTTAATTCACACACCTTGATTCTGACACGGCGCTCCATACACTCCCAGAGCACGGAAAGAGGACCAGTCATGTTCTTCATACGCGACAACACGTTACGCGTGTCTCGATGCGGGCGAACGTTTGGGATTGGCACTGGAACACAAGAATCACATTATACTGCCACGCCAAGTACAGTTTTGATATTTCTAAACTGCTAACTACAAGAGGTAGAGCTATTATCTTTCTCAACAAGTCCGTTTCTCTTTAAAGAAACATGTTATTGGGGTATTTAAATGGCGTGTTTCTATTCTTAAAAAGCTTTTAAACATGCCACGAAGCGTTTCACAGATGTCCCAGAAAACAAAATGTATCCACATAAAAAATGGGTAGTGTTTCTAAACGAGATATCTCGTGCTTGGTATGTAATGGATTTAATTAAGAGACTAAACACTGTATATCTATTTCTCATAGGTGATAACGCGTGAATCACAGAGACTGGTAGAATTGAATTTAAACGAAAAGTCTGCCTTACAATTTGTTCTGTAGCTGTGCGCCTTAAGGGACACAGCTACAATGAAACGTGAGTAATAAATAGTTTATAAATTCTGAAACTCAGAGCTTTTAACCGCTCCTAGACCACACATGACAGCAGGTAATTTAAGCAAAACGTTCAGCAAACTTATTTTACGTGATGTGTTCATGCAACACAATAAGGTGTGAATTAAATTCAGGTGGCTTAAGCTAGAATCAAGTAGTGGGCTGCTGTGAACACAATAACTGAATATGTCATTTCAAAACCGCATGAGTCCACAAAACTCGGTTTCGATAAATAAAAAACTAGCAAATATTATTTATTTCACGCTTTGTATCTTCCCCCAACGTAACTGGCAAGCATTTCTATGATTTTAGTACACTAAAATCATTTGCATTCAGAGTTATGACCTAAAGTTAGTTTTGAACTCACGTTGTTTTTACTTAATATTGAACGCATGACTTGTGGTAACCTGTCTCTTGTCACTGCTGGGGTGAACTATTTAAGTCTCTGCAGGTTTCCGGTGGTTTTCCTATGGTCAAAATCAAATCCTTGTAGTAAAATAACACGAGTCCAAGATTAGTGTCGTTTTGTTAGGAACAGACTATAGATAAGGATGGGCATAAAGGCTTAGACCGATGTGGTTCTAGTGATTGCCAAGGTAGCAGTATCGAAGTCCTCTAAAAAATTGGACTGTGTGAACCTGCAAATGACCGGCTCAGTTAACCTCTGTGTTCCATGAAATACAAGGAATTTTTGGACCAGATACAAGCTTATCAAGAAGAACCTGATACAGTTAGTTCCTGTCCAATCTTCATCGTCAGGCGAGACCCACTCAGTTTACAAGGCGTGTGCCTTCAAGGCAAAATGTACGGGTAATTCTGCTCTGCTACTCATCACGTCGTTAACAAAGAGGCAGGCGTACGAGTATGCAGTTTTAATGGAGCATTTTACGCTTCAGAACACCAGTCTGCTACTTTTAGTATCAAAAAACTTTTTAGCCCCAATTACAGAGAATATAAGTTAACTTCTTTTAAAGGTCCTGAATCAAGTTCTGGTGCGCTGAAATATTTTCCAAAGATGATGGTATGAGTGAACCAACCCACGTTTTGTTAGCTGTTGGACCATTAGGAAATGGCAGTGTAGGTCTACAACTGCTGAGTTACTGACAATTATAACTTTGGCAGATATTCTAACTCCATACAGTGCAAGTTTCCTTGATAAACTCATAGTCGTTCTACTTCTCATGAAATTACCGGTCTTTTATGGAGCCCGGAGGTCCATTACCATGTTCACAATACCACGCTACTGTACCCTATCCTGAGCCAATTAAATCCTGATCACACAATAAACACTTATTTCTGCTAATCAGTTTTAATATTCACTCTATTTTGCGATTAGGTATTCAAAACCGATCTTTCCCTCCAGGTTTTGGACTAAAATTTCCAATAAATGTTGTAAAAATGACTTACTAGGTTGTAAATTTTGTTAATACTTCAAGGAAATTTACGTTCTTATGAGTTACTAGGTTGTAAATTTTTTTAATACTTCAAGGAAATTTACGTTCTTGTCATTGTTTTGCGTGCGTCCATTTAACAATATCGTAAGAGAAGTGTAATGTCCAGACAGTACGTACCAACAGCAGTGAAACCTGTTTCTCTATATTGTTGTTACGTGTACCCTATATTAAAGATGATGATATCTTCTGTAAGACTTCATTATTTCCAGTGGGTAATATTACGATCGAAAGTGACAGTCCTAGCAAACGAAAGCTGTAATCAGCGAAAGTAATATAACATAACAACAAAAATACGAGTTGTAAGGAGAAAACTGCCTCCAAGTCTGCGAGAAAGTGTCGACGACTTTCACTGTGGTTGAAATATCATCCGATGTGGGCTCAGTTCAAGATGACGGAAAGAAATGTTCAAATCCACACTCTCAGAGCAGTCTGATTACATTCGTGCTTCGTCTGTCAGCATCTAACACTATTGTGCCAGTTCGCGTAATAAAAACATACGTATTCAAATGTAACCCACACCGGTGCTTGAAATAATGTACAGTGGATCTATATAACGCTAGAAACAGGCGATAATAAAATGTGACGTGTAACTTGGAGTGGGAAAGATGCACTAATAAATCTATACATTTTCATATGAAATTAAAAACACGGAAATGGATTAGTAAGCTCCAAATCAAATGGTACAGAACAGACAAGATTACTGTGAGAATCACAGCAAACGAGAAACAGTATTTCAGGATGAAACCGTGATTTAAAAAATTAATTAAGAGGTACAATAACAAGAAGTGTTTACCAAAGAATAGGAAGAGTTTATAGAACTTGAGAGGCTATAATAGAAATCCCTGCTTCACGGAGGACATGACAGTGTTATAAACCGCGTGTGTACAAATGGAAGGTGAATGACCAGCAAGCAACTCGCTACTGCGGGATCTCACGAGTTGGGCCCAGTCCGCGAGCGGTTGGGGAGGTGAATGACCACCCGTTGAAGTAGTGCAGACGGTTTCTACCTTGGTACATGCCCCACCACATACAACTACGCACTATTATACATACAGTTTAATTGCATAATGAAACAGGAGTTGTACAATGTAATTCAATTTCATATTCTATTCTATGAAATGTTCATAAATATAGAGCAAATGCAACGACTTTTCAATCGATTTTCATTCAGCTAAGATTGCTCCGATGTATCGAAAACAATTTAGAAATATCGATCCAGAGTGGAACAGTGTGTTCCATGTCGAGTCTGTAGTACACATTTCAGACAGAACCTTATCACACTACATATTAATTGCGCAGTTATAAATAAAATAGTCTACTTCGATAAATACGTACCATACCGAAATATGTTTCAAATACATTCTCTGCATAAACGGATCAATATTTCGTGTTATGTAGGCCCACCGTTTTGTCTATGGCGGGTAATTTTTAAGAACACTTACAAAAGTTTTGTTTAAGTTTCGTGCTAAGTATACGTTTTCGTACTGGACCGATATGGGCCAAAACTAAATTCTCTAGACAAACTTTCAATAGTCCTGGAGTAGTACACGCGACAGGACATGATCTCATTATGCTTTTATGTTATGCACTTCATTTAAACAGAATGATGAAACGTGATACGTTTCTGTGATTTATTAAAAAACTGTTAAAATATATAATTTAAATGTTTTTGTTATTATTTGGAGCTTATGAGAGATCTACGGTTTTGAGAATGACTGAAATATTTTTTCTGATATCTTAAATTTACTACAGGTTTTCAAACTATTTGTTGCATTCTCTGTCACGTCCACTGCAGGATCTTAATTCATGTAACTTTGTACTGATTATAGCTGGCCGTTTTATGGTTACAAAGCTACAGTCTAAGAATTAAGGGACTGTCGCGAACATCTGTTTACATGCAGGACGGAGAAAGTCTAAGAGTAAAAAGCAAACCCGATCCAAAGATTCGATTCGCGGAACCGAATATCAGACAACTGCTTTGAAATTGTTATTCTTGTTATGTACAGTCCAAAGCCAGCGTTTCTGAAAGTGGAAGGTATCCCTATAACTTTTATTCAATATGCTTTCTTTTCTCAGGTGCATACTGAGATATGCCAAAAATGGGTCCAAGCTCTTCTAATGGGTCTCAGGAAAAGTATGTACTATACAGAGTGACTGTCTAATGCCTTCGAATTTTTTATATGCATCCCGCACAGCCTGTTAGGATGTCTTGTTCTCGTCTTGCAGTCGTTTGATACGGAAATATAGCGCTACCGCGATGTATGCTGTGCATTAACCAATCAAGAGCCAGTTGCTTGTTTGATTGTGTACAGCCTTTGTAAAAAGTATATTAATGGAGTACAGTCACGTTCAGAAGCGAAGGAATAGAATAAGACATAGGACGAAAGGAACGAAGAAATACTACAAGCTGTAGCACGAAATGAAGACTGGCGTTTTCAAGTAAAAGTGTATGACGGTTGTTGTGTCATAACAAGAAAATTCGAAGGCTTTGATAACAAAGTCTCATCAAAGTTTGTCAATGAACTCAGGAGGTTTACTAAACTAAATCAAAATTTAAATGACTCAAAATGTAGCGCATGTCTACCAAACTTACTATAATGATAACAGCGGACCAATACTTCCATGTGGTTGAAGTGCACGAGGCAATATCTATTTTGCTGCAAATCTATTAGTGTTAGTTTTCCCGCCAGTACATTCGATCACAGATAATCAATCAGATGCGTACTATTCGTCAAAGGAAGTAGTTACAATAACTACCACTAATAGCGCTGACTGAATACTCGATGTCCAAGATTGAATCAAATTATATACACAACTTGATTCTGCGCCGTGCTGAAGAACTAAGAGTTTCCTTCTTGAATTCCGTTGCGTGGGATAATTATCACCATTACTTTACCCCAATTAATCAAGTCCAACAGGAAATACAATGTGAAAACTAAAATAATCGGTTCGGATATCATCAAAAATTTAATTCCCGTGCCATCTGTTGGTTGCAACAGCAATTACACGCGAGCTACCGTTTACATATAGCATGTGCGGTGTAGTAGTAAATAACGAATATAAATGGGAAATCACCTTACGTGCTTAAATCAAGGAAGAGGAGTACCACAGTATTACGTAATTGCTGTAATGCATGAAGTTGTGAACTCAGGTACCTATGCATAGATCAGAGAATTAATCTCTTATTCCATCAAGCTGAGTCCTTGAGAAAAAGCATGTAACCAAACCCTATATGGTGTGAGTGTAGGCTGGAGTTTATTTGGCTGATGGAAGGGTTCTTTAATATGCTCTTACTTGATAATGAGCAGGTTCCAATAATACCAGCTAAGCAACTATTAGCTTCTCAAGGGGTCTGCTATGTGGATTTAGTTTGCATCTGGTGTATTCATTACTGTGTCCCCTTAACCATTTCTGCAACCTGATTCTTTACTTTTTAAGTTAGTACTTCCACAATACAAAACCACCACCTTCTACATTTTTACCTCTTGTGAACATGATTATGGTCCTTTGGGTTAACTAATTGACACTATTTGTTTTCCTTCTCGGAGTCTGTTCCATGGAGTTTGTCTCACATCATTGTTATACAATAATCAGGATGTGGAAATGTAATTCTCTGCATGCCTCTTGCAGAATGTCACATACATTACATTAGAAAGTACTGATACTTACCCTGATGTGGAAGAAATCGCCTTTCTGGTTGCTCTTCTGAAGATGGGCCTGGTTCATTATCCTTATCAACCTAAAAATAAAATTGAAGCCTAAATCATGCATGACCAACCTTCTGTTATTAAAAATTTTATATCATATCACATGCACATGAATGTACAGGTGATGTCAACATTATATTTTAATAGCTTGAGCTCAATTTGACAGGGATAACTTCCAGCTGCAGTAGAACTTGCATCTAACCTTACATGGGATGCTTCAGGTTTGCTTGATTGCTTTGTACATTGTCAAGTAGGAACTTCTTGGTAACAAAACCAAATCTAAGCCTTGCCTTTACTAATGTAGGAGTTTTTAATCCCTCCTGGAACAAGTGAATGGAGGATCAGACTAGTGCAAAGCCTCTACCTAACAGGGCAACCATCCACAACCCAAGCAGATAGTATTGCACATCTTGGACCTCACAGTCTGTGGGAATAAGTAATTCTATGAATAATTACATGTTTTTGACAGGTATTGAAATTAGGAAGAGTTGCATCCTACATAAAAGATATTCATTCTATAGCATTCCATTGTGGTAATTTTACAGCCAAATCTAACATTGCACTGCCCATGAAAGCAACCCAAAAACAAATTTATGTTAAAAACTGAATATAATGAATATTATGAACTTTGTGCAGTGTTTATCATGTTCTTGTACCAGATGATAGTGTTTTGTGCTATTATTATTATTGAGTGTTCTGTCTGACGACAGGTCCATTGCT